AACAGAAGAAAAAATATATATCCATCACATGTATATGCACACACATATACACAGAAACAGAAAATAGAACCAAATTGTTTCTGTTGTTCTGTTGACCAGTAGGATCAAATTATAAGGCACAGGTTGTTGACTAAACTGGTGGTGCAAGCTGCTGAACTGTGAAACGGTTGGCTTTGGAAAATACTGCATTCTCCTTTGTTAGAGATTTTTAAGTATTATCTATCCATGATACTGTAGAAGCGCATTTACTATGTTAGTGGGTTGGATTAGATGATCTTGGAAGTCACTTCCAACTCTATGATTTAAGTCCCTAGCTTTCCTTTGGGGAAAGGAAGTGACTAGTAGTTGATGTTAGTGGCATAATGTCTTGCATTTTTGAGCAATTATCAAGCAACTGCAGGTTGAATAAAATCACATAAAAAGTACAGGAGAGCTGTGTTCTTCCTAAACTGCCCGCCACTTGAGCCACTATGGTATTTATCCCTGGAGAGAAACTTGGAATAAAGATCTAAGAAACCCTGCCAAACAGGGGGACTGGAGTAGGTAACTGACTACTTCCAAATAGCTACTTCTATAGTGCAAGAAAGTGATCTCTGCCTGCACTCTTATTGACATCAATAGGAAGTGTATATTAGGACGAGGAACAGAGTATAGCTTACAGTTTTCATAAATATACCTTATCCATCTCCATTCCACTAATAACAAACACTTATTCTGAAAGCAAATACATATTGTTATAGATGGAGACAGACCCAAATTAAAATGACATATCTCCGTCCAACTAAATGAGAGGCTGCCAAAACCATTTCTATTGCAATCTGTGATCTCATATGTTTTGATTAAATATACTGAATAAATGAGTGAATAGACATTTTTGCTCTACTGCTACAACTACAGAAGAAAAGAGACAACATGCATGAGGTGCTTTCTTTAGAACCAGGTGAAGATTTACTTAAAGATTTTCTTAGGATGCGATCCTACACGTTTAGACAGAAATGGCTTGTAACTGGCAGTATGCTGCAGTTGCAGTTGTTTTCCCCTCTCCAAATAGGCACAAGATTTTGCCTTTAGTTAAAAAAAAGTAGTTTAGCACCATGGACTACATCTGGACTAAGTTAGTTCCATTTAGTTCCCATGGGAAGTAATGAGACTTAAATCACAATGACTAAATTACACTGGTTTTAAGGGGACATAAGTACAATACAATCTGGATCCAATGTCAAAGTCCCTATTTCTGGAAATGCAGCCTGGTGAAGCGAACAACTCTCTAGAAGTCAGGTTTTGCAACTGGAAACCTTTTCACTGACATGTCAGATATGTTTGGGCTGGTTGTGGTTGCTCCATCACAAGGCACATTTCACTCTCCACATGCTTAAGCAACTCTTTTAAAATCATTTCACATGCTCTTACACAAGGGTCTGAGTTCTTGTACTGAAAAAAACAGGTTGCAGGACTAATCTTGTTTAAGTGAACCCTTTATAGTACATTAATGGAAGGTTTTCATTAGCTGAGGTCTAAGGCTGCTGATAAAGCTACAACATTTTTGCTTGCTTGCCTTTCCAGGCAGCTTCCTATGCTTCTCTGACTGAAGTCACATGGAAAAAAGCAGGTTGGATAAGATTGTTGTTGTGTGCTCAAACTGGAACAAGTCAGCCAAAGGAATTGTAACAGAGAGGTAATATAGGAAACAATGGGTAGAAGTCAAGTGTTAAAAGAACAGCGGAGAAAACCGGAAAGGAAGATGTAAGGAATTATAGCACATCACAGAGTCGATGTCAATTATTCCTCCCACAGGCCCACGTCTGCCATGGTTTCTGGACTTAAGAGCAATCCTATTTGGGAACAAACCTCCTTTGAGGTTGTAAAATGCTGTATTGAACTGTAAATGGGTATGTTTTAGGGCTAAGCTAGACAATGTTAATTGCACAGCATCTAGCACAGCCTAACTTTTTTAAAAAAGAAGGAAAATAACTGTAATGCAAAGGACCATAATGGGAAAGGAAAGTTGGGTGGGGAGGTTTAACACTTCCTATCTATGTGCTGTGATCCCAGTCCAGACTGGGGATTTATATGCTTACTTTAAAATAATGCTATTAAAATGCAGATTCTTCTAGCCAGTATTCACTGAACATATAATTTAGTTCTGCTCATAGTGATAAGATTTGCACCATTATTTAAGGAGGATATGAAGAACCTGTCATGTTTATTATGTAGAAAATTGTACTGTTATACAGTACTGAACTAGAAGACTTTACTACTAATAATAGCATGTACCTCCCTTACAAAGGTACTGAAAATCTAAAGAATTAGTGTGATTTGCTGACACCACTCAACTCTTCCAACAGTGTTCAACTCTCTTCCACTAAGGCTACTGAAGCACCTTCATTTCTGCATTCAATATTAATTAGTTCCATTTTACACACACACACACACACACACACACACACACACACACACATAATGTGCATGTATAATATACATGTTCTCTGACATACTTGCTAGGTATGAAAAACATTACTTCTGATTTTGAAAATGCCAAATTTGCCTAATATTGTATTTGCAAATGGCATACATTAATTTTTACAAATGAACTTACGAAGTGATTTTTTTTCTGAAGCAAATAAAGGACTTGAAAAATTCACACCACTGACATAAATCCAGCTTGATAACAAACCAACCAGCACAACAAAGTCACATTTTACAGTACTATAACAGTGAGGAAGGTACTCATCATTTGCTGCTACAGTTTTGCATCTCCTGTTAATTAAAAGCAAAATAACTGAACAACTCAACTGGATGGGCTTAAGGCATGTGGGTGGGTGTTTCTGATGACAAATACTGTGACCTTCATTCCACCACTGAAATAAAATTAGTTTTAGTACAAATGGAAGTTAAGTATGAAGACCACGGCACCTTTGCATCGCTCACAGCACGTTCCTCTTTGCTTAATGACGAGAGCACACTCCTTCGAAAGCACTGGACACTTCTCTCTTTTGCATGTCACTTCTTTGTTCTGTGGAAAGAAAGCCAAAAGCAGAAATCTGGTATCAGTCTCCCATTTTCTGCCACTAAGGAAGTATACTATGAAGTCAGATTTGGAAATTCCCCCCCTGCTTGACAAGAGATACCAGGGATACAGAGAGGGCATTATTACCCCTCCATACAAACATACACAGTTTTCCCTTGTGACACATATGCAGCAGAGGGTGGTTGAAAAATGGGGGAGAAAGGGGGAGTAATGGCAACTTTTAAAGAGAGAGTAAACCTAGATAAAGTCATGCCAAAGGAAACATGTGACTCGTTTCATGCTAATGTTACTTTTTGGTATACTGTAGAAATGATAATATTTGTGTAAACTGTAGCTGGAACTTTTAGAATACCTGGTCCAGGACTTCCTTGTGCGAACAAAAATATTTAGCCATGACTGTTCAACAGGTCTACATATTACAGTTACTTTTTTAAAAAATGCAAGCCTAAACTTCTTAACCAAATAAAGCCAAGGGTAGCTTCAATGAATTCCGTTCTTAAAAAAATAAAAATAATATTTTATTATCTAAGAAAAATAAAAAATATATAAATAATCTGCTTAGGGGGCTCTTGGGCCAATATAGCAGAGAGAGAGAGAGAGAGAGAGAGAGAGAGAGAGAGAGAGAGAGAGAGAGAGAGATCGAACCCAGGGCCCAATCCATGCAGCATGGGGAACAGTAATGCTGAAGGGTTGGATAGAAATTGTGTGTGCATGTGAGAGAGAGAAATAAACAATATATACACTGATTTCAATAGCAGAGAACTAAGTTTATTCTTTATTAACTGTATTTGAACATCATGCTAAGACATGGGTTAGAGTTATTAGAAGGGTTTCTCGGTTTTTCCCTCTTCCAGTGTGGCTGGAAGGAGAGGATGGAAAGGTTCCACTTCTGGTTTTGATAAGCCTCAATTTTAGCCTGTCCTGTAAAACCTAAACTGTGCATAATCTCAACTCCAACTATGACTTGAACTTGGCTTATTTCAGCTAAACAAAGTTAAGATTAACCACAGTTTGCTTGTGTTGAAGTGACACACTGAGCAGCAATTACTCTAAAACCAAAACAAATGTTTCTGAGCACCTCCTTGCAACTCACCAGAGAAGGAGAGAACAAGCTGAAAGCTTGCTGCAGCTCAATCTCATACAATGAACTGTGGTTTAGCATTATGTCCTATTTACATGTGCTTCACTTCATTTGGTTCTCTTCTTTTAAGCACCCTAGGAATGTTCTTCTCTCCACAACCTAATCCCAAATCCAAGTTACTGCAGAAGCATGCAAGCTGTTTTCTCATGTGATTCCAGCATTGTTTCAATAAAGAAAGCCCAAGGGCAGAGGGAAGGGATGGTAACAACTGTGCTCATAAATAACAAAAGCGATGAAGAGCATCTTCAGATTTGTAAGCCTCCCCTGCCACTCTTACCCAGCCTAGTCTGCCATCATTTATTTTTAGAAATAAAACTTTACTACTGGAAATTCCTTCCTTAAACATAGCATGCTGAGGAGCCTTTGCTGTAATTACTGGTTTCGTTGGTCCATTACATGACACAGGAGCCATTTGGCAGATGCCACTGTGCACCTTAGGAGATCATATGGCATAATTAGAGACCCCAAAAGGGAAAGAATCAAAGGAGAAACAGGGAAGCCAATCATAAAACTAAGTACTGAAGAGGCTCGAAGCACCTTTTCTTTGTTTTCTACAGCTTTGGTCAAGGTACTTCTGAAAGATAACTCAACATTTTTACTATGTGTGAGCCTCCTGAATGTGTGGCTGTTTTGTTTTGTGGGGGGGAAAAACTCCTCCCAACTATTATACTCCGTCTTATTCCTTCTGCCATCCATGTCTGTTTTATTATAAAATATGATTCATTATCCCCTCACCAAGCCAAATCTGCAATTATTTCAACTGCACTGGCTATAAAGTATGAGCAGAAAGAATTTAAATTCGCAAACTGAGGATCAGCTGCTGTCAGAATAGTGTCTGTTGTCAAAATGATTCACTCATGTGTTCTTCTGGCTGTGTTACACTACAGTTGCAAACACTTAGTCATAAATCTGAGTTACATGGACATTTGCTCATATGTAGAGCTTCCTAGCATTTCTGAATTAGCTCAATGCAGGACAGACTATTCACGGAGGAAACAGGCTAAAGGATCTCATGGCCAAATTCTGCTTTCCGCATAAAATACTAAACTCCAACAGAGCACCACGCCTGAAAGAAGAAAGGAAAGGGGGAAATATTTCAAAGTGCAGGAAGATTCATAGCAAGCATCAAAGACCCACTGTTGGAGGCATTCAAGATTAAATTGCAGAAAAACATTAAGCCTATTTTTCGGTTGTGGTTTCTTCCTTTCTAATATCTAAAAATAAATGAATGAGACACATAAAAGCTACCCCTCTTTGCATACAGGGGAACTGAACCTTTGGCCTAGCACACAGCATCTAAGGCACAATCCTATGCAAGTCTGCAGAGAAAAAAGGCCTACAACTCCCAGCATGCCCCAGACAGATGCTGGGAGTTGTAGGCCTTCTATTCTCTCTCAATTTGCATGGGATTGTGCCCTTAATTGTCAGTCAACAAGATCTTTTAGTGACTAGAGTTGCCAGGTTTCCACACTAAGCAACTTTGGCACTGCTATGGCATCGATTTCCCACAATTAGCTAGGACTGGAATTAAAACAGAGGTTCCATACAGCATGTAATAGGGCATTTACATTAATTAGCAATGCCCTTTCCCCATAGTCAAAATCCCTCTATAATCTCTAGTCAGAAGTAAGTTCCAGTTGGCACAAGTCCCAGGCAACTTCAAATAAATGTTTGTTGCTTGCAGGTTCAGCCCAGTTTGCTTCCAGCTGGGAGGTTAGTGAATAATTACCCCTCTCTGTGAATTGCCCCATCTCAGTTTCTGTTACCAGGGGTGGGGGTGGAGTCTTTAATTACAGATTTGCTTTGATTTGTGCTGTCTTTTTTTTAAGTGGCCCAACAATGTTATTTATGGTGTTCAATTTAAAGGCACAGGAGCCCTGGAATGCCTTAAGAATGCTTTGCCTATCCACAATGGACAGGCTGGAGCTCCAACTGTGTTTTGATTGCCAAAAACATCTCCACAAATCATGGAAAAACATGGGAGGGAAGCTTAGGAAACAGTATCATTTGGATGCTTTGAACTACCAATGGCAATTCCAGGAATTCCTCTTTTATTTTAGCCTGATTTGATTGGTTGCTTTTGAGTGGCTGCAGATAGATTTTTTTATTTTATTTTATTGACCGCATTGTACAATGCCCTGAGATCTGTTTGCTTTACTAATAGGTTTTAGAAATAAATAGACCCATGAGTTTGTAGAGCCAACTTCTCCTTCACCGCATCCCATCAATGTATCAGCAGCAGAGCAGTGACAATGGCAGGAGTAGCAAATGTGTGCTGCCTTCCTCCTCACAGTTGAAGGAAGAACACCTGGATTGATCCAGGGTTGGTCCCATCCAGGGAATTCTCTCCAGTGGATGGTAGACATCCCTGAATTTTCTGATCCCAACCCCAGAAGACAACTTCTGAAGCAGAACTATCATTTCCTGTTTGAAAAAGATTGTTCAAGTCTCTCTCAAAGCCTATTTCTTTTGCAAAGCTGTTCCTGATCCTTCTCAAGCTTCACTCAATTGTCCATCTCACTCAGTTACCCGCCTGCAAACCATCTGCTTTCACCCCAGCTCATCCACAGCCAATCCAGTTTCTCCTTCCATGTTTCAGACACGCATTTTAGTCACTTCCCCTTGACAGTGGACTATAGCTACTGAAGATAACATAAGGAACATAAGGAAAAGCCCTGTATAGTATAAAATCTTATATATAACTCTGTGGTTCAAAACCCCCCCACCATACTAACTTTCTCTTGCTAGCCAAAATGACTTGTCAGAGTTCCAAACGTAATAGAGCATTGCTTTATAATACAGCTAAAAAACAAAAACCCTGTACCTTTCCAGTCTGCCTGATGAAGAGGTCCATACAGGTTGAAAACTTGCACGATTCCCTGCCAACACACAGTTGGCTCAAGGAAGATATTGCATTACCTATTCTATACTTCAAAAGATCTGCTGAATATTCATCTCTTAAAACAAGCATGTGTAATTCCACTGAAACCTTTGGAGTCATGCCTGCTTTCTGCTTCAGCTAGATATGACCCTTAAACCATTCCAGAATACCCTTTGAAAAGTGTTATGGTCTAACATGATTCATACCATATAGGCTGTATCTTCAGACAAGTCATGAACAGTAAAACTTGATGTGAAGGAAGAAGATATTTCTCCATATATCATTCTACCCACCACTCTTTTTCTGTTGCCCTTTCAGATTAAGTAGAGTTGGTAAATCATTGTTTTGTCTACTGTAGCCAAAAGCTGTGAAAGCCAGCTCTCCAAGGCCCTATATAGATTGTAGGGATAAGGAGACAAAACCTTATCAAACCAGGGACATTCTTTTGGATTCTCGTTTTAAGCTTTACCCAGAATGTCATTCTAAACTCATGTCCCTCATCTAGTTAAATCTGTTTTCTTGTACCCTGTATTCTGCAGCAGGGAGACAGGCAAGGGAGAAAAGCAATTAGATTAATTAAGCTTTAAACAGCAATTAAGTTTCTTCCAAGTAGGTTGCACCTTAACCATAAAACACAACATTTCAGTACTTCTCCCAACCAGGCCATAAAAGAAGCCAATAGGACAAGAATGAAGAGAATCTTGGAGGCTGCCAAATCTCCATATATACTGTCAACAAAGTGTTTCAGAAGTTGTTGAAAGCTCACAGATATCTCAAAAGTGTTGCTGCAAAGCAAGCAAGCTAGTTCCGACTGCAACATTCAGAAGCCAACCTTTTACAAAGCACTGAGTAGAGGATTTTCTCCCTTTTTTGTTAAAAAAGGACAGCCATGTACTTTTGGCATCAGTGAGCAAGTACAGAAGAGACACATTGCTCATAAATACATAAACCATTTTATAAATC